TGTGTATCCAGGACCGGACCCGTGTCACAGAACCCCTGTGTAGAATGGTCTGAAAAAGAGAAAATATCCAGTAAGGGGCAGTTGAGTGGAGGAAAATGCCCTGTTGATGTCAGAGGTCAGAGGAGAATGGGCAGACTGGTTGGAGATGATAGAAAGGGAACAGTAATTCAAATAACCTCTCGTTACAACCAAGGTATGCAGAATACCATATCTGAACGCACAACATGTCCAACTTTGAAGCAGATGGGCTACAGCAGCAGAAGACCACACCTGGTGCCCCTAAGCTAAGAACAGGAAACGGAGGCTACAATTAGCACAGGATCACCAAAATTGGACATTAGAAGACTGGAAAAGCGTTGCTTGGTGTGGTAGTCTGGATTTCATCTGCAACATTCAGATGGTAGGGTCCGAATTCGGTATAAACAACATGAAAGCATGGATCCATCCTGCCTTGTATCAACGGTTCAGGCTGGTGGTGGTGGTGTTATGGTGTGGTGGATCCATCCTGCCTTGTATCAAGGGTTTAGGCTGGTGGTGGTGGTGTCATGGTGTGGTGGATCCATCCTGCCTTGTATCAATGGTTCAGGCTGGTGGTGGTGGTGTCATGGTGTGGGGGATCCATCCTGCCTTGTATCAATGGTTCAGGGTAGTGGTGGTGGTGTCATGGTGTGGGGGATCCATCCTGCCTTGTATCAACGGTTCATGGATGTGCATGGTGTGATGGATCCATCCATCCTTGTATCAATCCAACTGTGGTGATGCTGTCATGTCATCCATATGGTGGTGGTGTCATGGTGTGGGGGATCCAACATCAATCTCTGAGGAACGTTTCCAACACCTTGTTGAATCTATGCCATGAAGTATGAATGGTGTAAAAGGAGGTCCAATCCGGGACTAGCAAGGTGGATCCAATGAAGTGGGGTCAGGCTGGTGGTGGTGTGTCATTCTGGGGGAATCCATCCTGCCTTGTATCAATGTTCATGGATGTGCACCGACATCTGCATCTAATTTGTGAGACCCTGTCATGTCAATATGCCCAAAGTCTCAGGACACGTTTCCAACACCTTGTTGAATCCCCCCAAACGTCAGGACAGTACAAATCCCCAGAATGTGAGTCAGAACGGCATAAATCTCCCAAACGTCAGGACAGTACAAATCCCCCCAAATGTCAGGACGGTACAAATCCCCCCAAATGTCAGGACGGTACAAATCCCCCCAAATGTCAGGACGGTACAAATCCCCCAAACGTCAGGACGGTACAAATCCCCCCAAATGTCAGGACGGTACAAATCCCCCCAAATGTCAGGACGGTACAAATCCCCCCCAAATGTCAGGACGGTACAAATCCCCCCAAACGTCAGGACGGTACAAATCCCCCCCAAACGTCAGGACGGTACAAATCCCCCAAACGTCAGGACGGTACAAATCCCCCAAATGTCAGGATAGGACAAACCCCCAAATGTCAGGACGGTACAAATCCTCCCAAATGTCAGGACAGTACAAATCCCCTCCCCCCCAAATGTCAGGACGGTACAAATCCCCCAAATGTCAGGACGGTACAAATCCCCCCCAAATGTCGGGACAGTACAAATCCCCCAAATGTCGGGACGGTACAAATCCCCCCAAATGTCGGGACGGTACAAATCCCCCCCAAATGTCGGGACGGTACAAATCCCCCCCAAGTGTCAGGACAGGACAAATATCACCCAAATACAGCCCAAATGACCCCTTTTTGGGAAGTAGTCTGAGGTATTTAGTAAGAGGCACGGGGAGTTGTTGAAGTTTGACATTTTTTGTGTCACAATTATTTGGAAAATGAAGAAATTAAAAAAAAAAATTTTTTTTTCACAATGTTATTTTACCATACTGTTACCAGAGCAGTACAGGGTCATCACATGACTAGCGTGGTGGTGATCCGGGACGATGACTGGTGACAGCGTGTAAAAGAAAAAAATAATATTATTATTTTTTTTATTAAATAATATATTAAATATTTTTTTAGTCAATTTCTTAAACTTTTTAAAAAAACATATTTTTATTACATACTGTCATCAGAGTAGTTCAGCACCACCATGACACTGTACTACTCTGGGGGAGTGATCAGGATTTTTTTTTTCACGGTTACTGCTTATAATCGCATTGATCACCGTCATAAGCAATAGTTTTGAATAACTTTCATTCATGTCAGCTTGCTTACTGTTGTGATCTGTGATTGGCTACAACTGATCACATGGTACAGAGTTCTGTAATTGACCCAGGTGCCATATGATAGCTGTGGACCAATCACAGCATGACAATAGTAAGCAAGTAGTCATGAATGGAAGACCTTCATGACCATTTTGCTGACATATAACCATGTGATCACTGCAATTGGTCATAGCGATCACATGATGCCCCGGCTGCTCACAGAGCCGGATACGGAGCACCGTGGTCCATGGTGTCCACTGCATACCAGAACCTCGCTTAGCCTGCAGCTGGCGCCCTGCCACAGTGAAGGTACTGGGGGTGGCCTGCAAGCGGTTGAAGGTGACCTCTACACAATATAGGCAAACAAATGAATCCACAACAACATAAAATGACTTTATTGACTAACATTGGATGGTGTTTAGTTAGCAGAAACAGTCTGGTCCACCCAGGTCTTGAAGTAGGTGACGCGGGTGTAGACGGCAGGGATAGATGTAGAGCAGGTAGAGTTGCCCCAGGACAGGACACCGGCCAGGTTCCAGACTCCATTCCTCTTGCACACGAGAGGTCCACCAGAGAAATGCTGAAAAGACGAGAACAGACGTCATGGAAGAGCTTCAACAAGATGAACTTTAAGTAACTTCTGTCTGTCTGAACCGAGAACACAATGTGCGTTAGAAGCTGTAAAACAGAGCTCCGCCTCACTGCCTGGCTGGAGGACGTCCAGCATCACCAAGCTCTTACCTCCCCAGCCTGACCGTCCCTGGCCCTACCCCTTTCATTCATTGGGTTTCAGTTCTGTCAGTCATGGAGGCTCAGCATCACAAGTGGGCGTTACTTATGCTAATACAGCCTGCCTAGAAATGCCCACTCCTCTAGACTGACACCCACCCATCAAGACACTTAGCATAACTCCTCCCATGGGCCAGTCCACTGCTGAATCATGGGAAGTGAATCACAGGAAGTCTCCTACCCTATCCAAAAATGTAATAAAAGTGCTGAATGTATTCATACTTCCACATCACTAAGCTCCACCGTCATCCACCAATAGTACTGAGCCAGATCCATACACAGATATAAAACATAGAAATAACTGAAAGTCGATACAGAGGGCACTGGCTTCTGCATCAACTCTGAATGAAGCCCCACCCCCTAGAGCTAAGCTCCACCCTCATCAGTCAATATTCCTGAGCCAGGGCTTTAGATATCAAATGTAAAAATAACTGAAAGCTGATACGGGGGCACTGGCTCCTGCACCAACTTTAAATTATGCCCCACCCTAGAGCGGAGCTCCACCCACACCATTTAATAGCCCTGCACTAGATCCTTACATGAAAGTAATATTTAAACATACATAAAAAATATTGGGGAGAAATCTATTATACTGTACATGCCCGTTAATATCGCCTTTAATTATATTGTATACTGGTTTGCAGAGATTATTATTATTATTATTATTATTACATGGAGTTTATATAGCGCCAAAGGGTTTGCTCAGCGCTGTACAATAGGGGGGACAATACATGGCGCAGTACAACAACAACAAACAACGTACGAGGGGTAAGAGGGCCCTACTCTTACGAGCTTACAATCTAGGAGGGAGGGGGTAAAGGTACAGTAGGAAGTGGCTGAGGGGGATGAAGTGGTGGGAGGAATGAGGGAGGATGGCCGTTAGGTGAGGGTGGGGTAGGCTTCCCTGAAGAGATGGGTTTTGAGGGAGCGCCTGAATGTGAATAGGGAAGGCGACAGTGGGGAGATTCCAACAGACTCCTTCAAGGGGCTGAACCAGATGGCCTTGGATCCTGCAGCCATGGATTCTGGTTCCCCAGCCGAGTAATGGTAGCTAGTACAAATGAGAAGGTCCTCGTACCACACAGGAGGAGACACCGGAGCCACCGGCGCAGATCGTGGAGGGCTGGATATGGGTTCCCCAGTATCCCTGTGTTAGATTTCCAGAGTTATGAAAAAACTCTATTAATATTTCTAGGTTCTTGTAGATGGTTGTGGGAAGAAATCCTTATGAAAACCAGGTCAGTATGAGCAGTGTGACTTTATTTGATCACACACCAAAAATACAAAGTCAATAAAAAACAGTAAATTCAGATATATGTAGCTTACAAGAAAATAAAAATAAAGAATAAATTGCCTTGGATATTAGGAAATAATGTAGTTCCTTTGCATAGCTTAGATAGAAGTTTTCTTGGCCTAGTTTAAGAAATGACCATGTGCTATTCTTTTGTTCTTTGTCCAAGCATGTGCTTTGAGTAAGAGTGTGTGAAAAGAATGTCTCTGTGTGTGTGTGAGTGAATGAAGTGAAGTGTCGTCTATCTGAGAGGCTTCTGCCTCGTTGTTTGAAAAGCTGCATACTTAAAATGCATGAGAAATTAGATCCTCCCATTAAGCTTTGTTTCAAATTCGCGGGCTTCTAAACTACTCCCAAAATCACTCCTAGTTTGAATAGAAACAGATGTTCCCATTCAAACCACCAAGTCATTATCATGATTGACATATGGACCATGAGAAAGGTTTCTGAAGTTCTTATATTACATACAACTGTCAAAAACCATGATTTATGACTACAATTTAAACTCTCAGACTCATTAAACGAATTCACAGTATGGTATACATTACATGAGTATTTTAAAAGAAAACATAACTTTAAACCTCTACTGATTACCTAGACTCAAACACAAATAATTCACATCTGACCACTTACATACAAAACCTCACATTCACATCCAATTAATAGGGAATATATATATATTCTGCCAGCATATATTTCAAAAACTACTAAAGACCGAATTAAAGTTTGGATATTAAAAAATTAATATTACACCCTGGCAATCAATGTTGGACAGAAGAGGAACAACTGCCTGCTGGAGCTTAGATGGAGTGGTTGGTGCTGAAGAAGAGAAAAAAAGGAAATCAGAAAATTTAAAAAATGTGCAACAGAGGTATCATCACAAAGGTTCTGTCTGGCGTTTTGAGCCATTAGAATCCCAACAAAACCGCATCTAACGTCTGTAATGATCCAACCTTATATATATATATATATTTCACAGTCCAGGGGTGTCAAACTCAATGTCATCGCGGGCCGATTCAGCGTTATGGTTGCCCTCAAAGGGCCGGTTGTGTCTGTGAGATTGTATAAATGTATCTACTCGTTATCATACTAAATAATTGCCTCTGTATTCCATTATCACTGATTTTAGTAATAACTTAAGACTTAATCTTTGAAGGGTGCAAACCGGCACAGAGCCCACTCACTCTCCTGTACCCCAAGATACAAGGCTGACAAGGAGGGTCGCGCTCCGCTGGGATCATCCACAAGAAACTTTATCGGAGACTGCTGAAACCCAACATGGTTCTGCCATTGTATTCTGTCTGAGCAATCTCCAGTAATGTTTCTTGTGGATGATCCCAACGGAGTGCGACCCTCCTTTTCAACTGGCATAGAATTGTGTTATTCTCATAATAATGATATGCAGATGACCACAGCACCCCACCCATCCCTTACATCAGATGTCAAGAGCCCCCCCCCAGCATCAGAAGTCAGGTTTATCACAGTGTAAACCCCTTTCCTTGTGCTGGGGTTGGAGCTGTGAAGCAGAAAGTGCAGGGTTTGGAGAAGGACCAGAGGAGGGCTGCAGTCAGCTACCGGGGTCTGCTAAATGCTGAGACCAGGAGAGTCAAAGACGAGGGGGTGCTGCTGCCGCACAGAGAGGAGCAGGATCTGTAGGAGAAGTTATGTTCTCCTATCTGCTGAGAGAAGGGGCAGAGATGAGCCTCTCCGCAGGTACACGGGGAATTGTGGGATGTTACGGAGGAGTTCTGTCCTCCTCTCTGCTGCTGACTGCTGAGACACAGTGGGGGTGAATGTGAGGGGGCGTGCCGCACCTGCAGGAGAGGTGTAAGGGTCACATGAAAGGCTGAATTGGACACGCTGGCCTTGTGTTTGACACGTGATGTAGAGGAGTGCAGTATGGTCATGTATGGTTATGGGATCTACCGATATAATAAAAAGTTGTATAATAAATATAATAAAAAGATATAATAAAAAAGTTGTGCGAAGCCTACAACAAAACAGGCCATCCCATAATATACACTCCATGTTATGTAATGTAAGCTGCCAGGACAAGGTCATCTAGTGCCCAGGGTGAAAATGCCAAAATGAGCCCCTCTCAGGATATGTGAGCATCACGTGTAGCCCCCTTGTGCTAAACAGGGACTACTATGTCAGACGGGTTATTGGCTGGGCTGTAGTTAGCTCTGACTGCATAGTTTTTGACATTTTTTTCTCACCGTCTCTAGTAGATGTCATGGTGCTACTGGCCCTAGTATGCGATTTCACAAGCAAAACTAAGTTATGAATATTTATATTCTCATCAGCCAATCCAGTAAGTGGTTTATGCCACTGATGCATGCTGGGGGAGGATATAAATATTTGGGACAGGTCATGTGCTTGCTTCCCCTGGGCTGAGGTCCAGGGAAGTGCTGCTAGATGGAGCTCTGCTGCCTAATAGCCTGTTTTGGGGCCTAACATGCTGAAGTGGTCCTGAAGCTGTCCTGCCTCGTCTGGAGGAAGCTGTGCTAAGGAGGAGACCCAGGGGAGGCTTCTTGCTGGAGAGAGCCAGGAAGAAGGCTAGTTTCTCAGAAGGGCCTGGTGACACACTGAATTTTGGAATATTTTTAAATGAAACAGCGCAAAATAGACCTTCATACAAATTTAGTGAATCACAAAACATACAGTCAGGTCCATAAATATTGGGACATGGACACAATTCTAACATTTTTGGCTCTATACACCACAATGGATTTGAAATGAAATGAACAAGATGTGCTTTAACTGCAGACCGTCAGCTTTAATTTAAGGGTATTTACATCCAAATCAGGTGAACAGTGTAGGAATTACAACAGTTTGCATAGGTGCCTCCCACTTGATAAGGGACCAAAAGTAATGGGACAATTGGCTTCTCAGCTGTTCCATGGCCAGGTGTGTGTTATTCCCTCATTATCCCAATTACAATGAGCAGATAAAAGGTCCAGAGTTCATTCCAAGTGTGCTATTTGCAATTTGAATCTGTTGCTGTCAACTCTCAAGATGAGATCCAAAGAGCTGTCACTATCAGTGAAGCCATCATTAGGCTGAAAAAACAAAACAAACCCATCAGAGAGATAGCAAAAACATTAGGCGTGGCCAAAACAACTGTTTGGAACATTCTTAAAAAGAAGGAACGCACCGGTGAGCTCAGCAACACCAAAGGACCCGGAAGACCACGGAAAACAACTGTGGTGGATGACCGAAGAATTCTTTCCCTGGTGAAGAAAACACCCTTCACAACAGTTGGCCAGATCAAGAACACTCTCCAGGAGGTAGGTGTATGTGTGTCAAAGTCACCAATCAAGAGAAGACTTCACCAGAGTGAATACAGAGGGTTCACCACAAGATGGAAACCATTGGTGAGCCTCAAAAACAGGAAGGCCAGATTAGAGTTTGCCAAACGACATGTAAAAAAGCCTTCACAGTTCTGGAACAACATCCTATGGAGAGATGAGACCGACATCAACTTGTACCAGAGTGATGGGAAGAGAAGAGGATGGAGAAGGAACTGCTCATGATCCTAAGCATACCACCTCATCAGTGATCATGGTGGTGGTAGTGTCATGGCGTGGGCATGTATGGCTGCCAATGGAACTGGTTCTCTTGTATTTATTGATGATGTGACTGCTGACAGAAGCAGCCGGATGAATTGTGAAGTGTTTCGGGAATATTATCGGCTCATATTCAGCCAAATGCTTCACAACTCATTGGACGCTTCACAGTGCAGATGGACAATGACCCAAAGCAGACTGCAAAAGCAACCAAAGAGTTTTTTAAGGGAAAGAAGTGGAATGTTATGCAATGGCCAAGTCAATCACCTGACCTGAATCCGATTGAGCATTTCACTTGCTGAAGACAAAACTGAAGGGAAAATGCCCCAAGAACAAGCAGGAACTGAAGACAGTTACAGTAGAGGCCTGGCAGAGCCTCACCAGGGATGACACCCAGCGTCTGGGGATGTCTATGCGTTCCACACTTCAGGCTGTCATTGACTGCAAAGGATTTGTAACCAAGTATTAAAAAGTGAAAGTTTGATTTATAATTATTATTCTGTCCCATTACTTTTGGTCTCTTAACAAGTGGGAGGCACATATGCAAACTGTTGTAATTCCTACACCGTTCACCTGATTTGGATGTAAATGCCCTCAAATTAAAGCTGACAGTCTGCAGTTAAAGCACATCTTGTTTGTTTCATTTCAAATCCATTGTGGTGGTGTATAGAGCCAAAAATGTTAGAATTGTGTCCATGTCCCAATATTTATGGACCTGACTGTAAATGTCCAATAATCTTTGGTGCATATCTCTGTCAAAAAATCTTCAGGAAAGACACCCCAAAACCACTTGTGATGAAAGCTGAGGATTGCAAATGCTTTTAGGAAACTTCCACCTATCACCCGTGCACACCAACATCAAATACACTCACCAGATTTTGGTGAATGAAAAGCCTTTAAGGATTTTTGGGAAATCCTAAACCCTCTTTGCATCAGATCAATAGTAGCCTCCCCCACCAGGTATGGATCTTCTCCCAGGTCCTCACCGTGGTATCCTTGTTTACTCCACCGTATCAGAGAAAAAAACTTATATAGTGTAATATTGCCAGATAGATATTATACCAGAAGACAGAATCCAGGCCACTCACATTTTTCCAACTTGTAAAAGGCGCATTTATTTAAGCCAACACCAGCCTGATATTAAGAACCAGCAAACAGCCACAAAATCCAGGATTCTCACATCAATACACGCCAGTAAAAGCAGAGGAACAGCAGAAGACCAGTCTAAATCCCTCAAAGATGGCCTCTGGAACGCACCTCCTAGCGTGCGCTCCACTCACCGGAAGTGACATCAGACGTCGGATGTGTGGACCGGAATTGCGTCAACGCGTTTCGCCCCTCCCACAGGGCGTTCTCAAGTCTTGGTGTGCACGGGTGATAGGTGGAAGTTTCCTAAAAGCATTTGGAATCCTCAGCTTTCATCACAAGTGGTTTTGGGGTGTCTTTCCTGAAGATTTTTTGACAGAGATATGCACCAATGGTTATGGGACATTTATGTTTTGTGATTCACTAAATTTGTATGAAGGTCTATTTTGCGCTCTTTTGTTTATAAATATTATTTGTGTTTTCACATTTTTTGCACAGCAGCAATTTAGAAGAGGGATACACATATTTTGTATTTGGCACTTTTTTGTTGGCGCAGGAATATTTTATTTTTTGAATTTTGGAATATGCTTACAGTTTTGCCGGGTAAGCAATATTTATATTCTCTTCAGCCAATCCAGTAAGATATTTATGCCACTGATGCATGCTGGGGGGAGGGTATAAATATTTGGGACAGGTCATGTGCTTGCTTCCCCTGAGCTGAGATTTAGGAAAGTGCTGTTGGGTGGAGCTCTGCTGTTAGGCCCAATAGCCTGTTTTGGGGCCTAACATGCTGAAGTGGTCCTGAAGCGGTCCTGCCTGGTCAGGAGGAAGTTGTGCCAAGGAGGAAACCCAGGGGAGGCCCTTTGCTGGAGAGAGCCAGGAAGAAAACTGGTCTCTCAGAAGGGCCTGGTGACTAACTTGGAGGACGTACTGAATTTTGGAAATACGCTTACAGTTTTGCCGGGTACACTTATAGATTTTGCCACTTTGAAGTTGGATATTGATCTGGAGAGTGTGTGATATGCTATGGTATCTGGGATCCTGAACCCTCACATCCTTAACTGTTCCACAATAAAATGACAAACATGACTGGTGCCCAATATCCCTTCTCTGTCCCCTCATTTTAGCCATGAAATGCTAGCCCATCCCTGGCCTCTGGGCTATCCTGCTACTGCGGTGTCAGTGGGGCGCTACGCATGTGTCAGCAAATATTCATCCCAAACAATCATGCGCTAATCTGCATTATCACCCCCCTAAGCATAACCTCCGATTGTGTTCAACAATCATAAATTTACGGGGTTTGTTAAGAATTTTGAATTCCCTTACAGGCCATGTATTCCCATGCGGTGATGACGCACTTTTCTCCTCCATTGAAGACATCACAGCTTGAAGGAAGGCAAACGGGGGAAATGCGGTCAGTAAGGGAGGCGGGACTGGATAGCCTGATCAGGGAGATGTCATCGACGCCGGTCTGGGTGTTGTACAGGGGGTATTTGAAGACCTGAGAAAAGTTATGTTAGAATTAAATTCCTGGAAATGTAAGTGAATCCAGCCAAGGGAATCCAACCAGTCTTCATTCACAGAGCCTGAAGTTTTATCTGGTTTTCTGTTTGATCCATACAAATAAAAGCCTGAAAGTCTGACTTTGGGTGAAAAGACAAGAAGAGCAATTAGGTGTTTATAGCTCTTTATTTATTTATTTATTTATTTATTTATTTATTAGAAAAGAACTTACTTTTCCGATATCCTTAGTCTGGGTGTTCTCAGTCGTGGAGGAGAGGTCAAACGCGCCCAGGACCACACGGTGGGAAGTCCTGGATGGAAGAAAGGAATGAAATGTGAGGTCCTGGAGATCGTTTACCCATCAAAAAGGGGATATTGATTGGGCTTGACTCAACCACAACAGCCCTGGTACAATGTGGTAGCTTCTGCAATGGGTGACGGACCCCCGAATTGAGAATTCCAAGCGAAATTATCAGAAAAGAGTGCCGGATGGTCATTTTAAGAGTTCATAATCATTTAACGCCTATGACAATATGACAACAAAAAGATTAAACCAAATCAGAAATGTTTAACTATGTTTTACTATTTATGATGATGATGATGATGTGTTTTATTGATCTAACCCTTAACAAAGGGGATTGTTGCCCCTCCCCTATGACTACCTTTTAGATTTCTGTTGTCAACACAAATGTACAGTCTTTGTACTGGAAAAATATAAGACTCACGTGGCTGGGCAGTGAGCAGCAGTGACAACCCAGTTAGTGTTGATCAGGGAGCCGCCACAGATGTGCCTTCCAGTGCTGTCCTGTGGAAGAAACATCATCAGATCATTGCTTTGTCTATCATACGAAGTAAGACCTCGCTCAGACCTGAGCACGGCAATTTTGGTTTACAGCACCTGCATAGCGCACATGACGGGAAACACTAGGTGATGGTACAGGTCAGATCTGCATGTCAGTGTGCTGTGCCTGTGTGACCCATGATTCCTGATTGTAGCAATTTGGGTGCATTCTGTAGGGTGCAGTCGGTAACACATCCAGACAATTATTTTGAGGGGTGCCGTGTTGGAGTATAAGTGGGAGAGTACATGCAAAGCAGACAGCATACTACTTGAAACGCGCTTGTAGGTGTGACCAAAAAGTGGGTGGGGCCAGAAGTGGGCATGGTTAAAAAGTGGGCCTTTCTTCGTGGTCTAAGGTTTGTAGCGTGCCACTAATACCCTTTTATATAACCAAAGTAGGGCCATCGGGTACAATGAAGAGATTGTTGAATTAAAATAAGCCCACTGGGGCTAGCAATGATAACCCCCCAAAGTTTCAGGCCCAGCAATGACCTCAAAGACATGTCACAATATTTAATCCCCAGTACAACACAATAAATAACCCCCAAGTATGGCAAAACCATTAGCACCACACTATAATAAACCCACAGCATTGCACAATAATTAACCCACAACACTGCACAATAATTAACCCACAACACTGCACAATAATTAACCCATAACACTGCACAATAATAACCCCTTAGCATAGTACAACACTTAACTCTGGCATTTTAAACACATTAAACATCCCCCAGCCCTGCACAATAATTAAACCCCTGCATCACATAATAATTAACCCTCAAGAGTAAAGAAATCAGTGTGCCCCCTTCATTGTGAAACGTACAGCATAGCAAATACAGTGCAGAGGTCAGCACTGTGTAGTGAATAGTGTGTGTGTGTGTGTGTAGTAAATGAACAAACAAATCGGGCAGGATCCATCTGGGACTACATAGCAGACCAATCAGAGCTGATGAACTGTTTAATGTATATACATTATATAGTCCCATTTGTGTTATTATTTACTATACTGGGGGATGAGGACATTTTGAAGGTCCAACTAGTAAACCCATAATAGAGGTGTTCACCGAATTGTCTTTTTCTCCTACTTTCTCTGTGTGACATCTTACATTGGTGGTCATTGTGCCCCCTGAATACTTGTGCCCCTTGTACAATCAGTGTGGTCAGTGTGCACCTGTATACTGTTCAGTGTGCCTCTGTACAATGGTGGTGCTTCCCTCCATCCACTGGTCATTCTGCACCACTTGCCATCCAATACTTACCTCTGCACACCCTCCATCCACTGGTGGCATCTGCACCTCCTCCATCCCTTGATCACCTCTACATCCCCTCCATCCAGCCACAGGACACCTCTGCACCCCCTCCATCCACTTGTCTCCTCTGCACCCCCACCCTCCCTCCACTTGTCAATTCTGCACCTCCTTCCTTCACTGGCTACCTCTGCACCCACTCTTTTTATTGGTTACCTCTGCACCCCCTCCCTCCATCCATTGCTCACCTGTGCACCCACCTCCAGCCATCCACAGGTCGCCTTTGCTCCCCCCTCTTTACGATGGACATCTCTCCTTTCCCCCTTTATCCACAGATCACCTCTGCACTGCCTCTTCCAGCCACTGTTCACTTCTACTCTCATCCTTCCTTACACTGGTAGACTTTATTCTCTGCTTTCCCCCTTCTTCTGTTGGTCATCTCTGCTTTCCCCATCCTTCTAGCCACAGGTTACCTCTGCTCTCCACCTTCCTTCCAGCCACAGATCACCTCTTCTTCCCACCCTCCCTCCAGCCACAGGTCACCTCTGCTCTCCCCCTCTACCTCCAGCCAAAGGTCACCTCTGCTCGCCACCCTCCTTCCAGCCAAAGGTCATATCTACTCTCTACCCTCCTTCCAGCCACAGGTCACCTCTGCTCTCCACCCTCCTTCCAGCCACAGGTCACCTCTGCTGTCCACCCTTCCCTCCAGCCACAGGTCACCTCTGCTGCTCTCCCTCCTTCCAGCCACAGGTCACCTCTGCTCCGCCACCCTCCTTCCAGCCAAAGGTCACCTCTGCTCTCCACCCTCCTTCCAACCACAGGTCACCTCTGCTCCACCCTCCATCCAGCCACTGGTCACCTCTGCTGTCCACCCTTCTTCCAACCACAGGTCACCTCTGCTCTTTCCCTCCTTCCAGCCACAGGTCACCTATGCTCTCTCCCTCCTTCCAGCCACAGGTCACCTATGCTCTCCACCCTCCTTCCAGCCACAGGTCACCTCTGCTCTCCACCCTCTCTCCAGCCACAGGTCACCTCTGTTCTCCACCCTCCTTCCAGTCACAGGTCTACTCTACTCTCATCCCTCCTTCCAGCCATGGGTCCCCTTATTCTCTTCACCCTCTCTCCAGCCATAGGTCACCTCTGCTCTCTCCCTCCTTCCACCCACAGGTCACCTGCTCTCCACTCTCCGTGCAGCCACAGGTCACCTCTGTTCTCAACCCTCCTTCCAGCCACAGGTCACCTCTACCCTCAACCCTCCTTCCAGTCATAGGTCACCTCTTCTCTCCACCCTCTCTCCAGCCATAGGTCACCTCTGCTCTACCCCTCCTTCCAGCCACAGGTCACCTCTGTTCTCCACCCTCCTTCCAGCCACAGGTCACCTCTGCTCTCCATCTTCCTTCCACCTACAGGTCACCTCTGCTCATCACCCTCCTTCCAGTCACAGGTCACCTCTGCTCTCCACCCTCCTTCCAGTCACAGGTCACCTCTGCTCTCCATCTTCCTTCCACCTACAGGTCACCTCTGTTCTCCACCCTCTTTCCAGCTACATGTCACCTCTGCTCTCCATCTTCCTTCCAGCCACAGGTCACCTCTGCTCTCTACTCTCACTCTCCGCTGACACAGGAAAAATCAGGTAGGTCTATGGATTTTTTTTTATACACTTTCTGTAATGTAACCTAATGGAACTGAGAAAAGAAGACATGTTGGCCGTACCTGCACAGACACCTGCCAAGGCCAAGACCCAGAGACGGCGGTCTCACCATTAATAATCCTGGCATAGTTGGAGATAATGGGCTTGATGTCGGGAACACCGCAGCCTGAGGAAAAGGTACATTTAAACAATACATACAAATTAAAATATATGCAGCGCTACCCTCTTGAGGGCCGCTGTGTTTCCTGGTCCCACCTAAGCCTTGCACAGCCAGGCAACAAACATTTTCCACACCTTCATCCACAGTCAGTGAACAGTCCATGAGCTTGTGTTTGTTATTTTATTAGGGGAAATAACTTGGATGGGGTAATAGGGATTATGAGGTGCCCAGCTTGACCTAATCAATACATGGGGACAACGTCCTTCCTATTTACACAAACAGATCCTGGACTGTTCTTTTCCTTGAAAATGGTCAGTTTTTACGGCTCAGTAACAAAAGCCACTTACAGGCTAAGGACTCAGAAAGTTGCAAACTACATGCAGAAGTATCTCCTCTCCCCTGTAGAACGGCTCCCAGCTCCACAGCCTGCAGACACCACCAGTCCTCCTGTCTGCTCAGAAGATCTCCTAGGACAAGGATAAAGGATTGAGCCCAGCGCTGTCCTTTGAAAGCTTCCTACGTGTGGCAGTCTCTCCCCTTGTAAATCCCTGGGTGTGCTGATGTGCTCTCTGACCTCCTTGATCCCACTGCACACAGGCCTTGATCCTGTTCATACTGTCATGCTGAATGACCCTCCTGAGCCAGCCTGAGCCCAGCCTGGGGACCAGCCCCCCCTAGACTTAGGGGACCCCTCCCAGGCCACTGACAGCCTCCTCAGCACTCCATCTGCCACCCGACTCCCCTGCCAGCCTGACTCTCCCATATTTATGGTTTGGTCTCACCGCTTTACCAGGAGAGTACAAATCTTCCCAAATGTCAGGACGGTACAAATCCCCCCAAATGTCAGGATGGTACAAATTCCCCCAAATGTCAGGTCATGGTACAAATCCCCCCAAATGTCAGGACGGTATAAATCCCCCCAAATGTCAGGACGTTACAAATCCTCCAAATGTCAGGACGGTACAAATCCCCCCCAAATGTCAGGACGGTACAAATCCTCCCAAATGTCAGGACGGTACAAATCCCCCCAAATGTCAGGACGGTACAAATCCCCCCAAATGTCAGGAGAGTATAAATCCCCCCAAATGTCAGGAGAGTATAAATCCCCCCAAATGTCAGGACGGTACAAATCCCCCCAAATGTCAGGAGAGTATAAATCCCCCCCAAATGTCAGGAGAGTATAAATCCCCCCAAATGTCAGGACGGTACAATTCCGCCCAAATGTCAGGAGAGTACAAATCCCCCCAAATGTCAGGAGAGTACAAATCCCCCCAAATGTCAGGACAGTGCAAATCCCCCCCAAATGTCAGGACTGTACAAATATCCCCCCAAATGTCAGGATAGTGCAAATCCCCCCAAATGTCAGGAAGGTAAAAATCACCCCCAAATGTCAGGACGGTACAAATCTCCCCAAATACGAGGACAGTACAAATCCCCCCCAAATGTCAGGACAGTACAAATACCCCCCCCAAATGTCAGGACAGGACAAATACCTTCCCCCCAAATGTCAGGACGGTACAAATCCCCCCAAAAAATACGAGGACAGTACAAATCCCCCCCCAAATGTCAGGACAGTACAAATCCCCCCAAATGTCAGGATGGTAAAAATGTCAGGACAGTACAAATCCCCCCCCCCACACAAATATCAGGACAGTACAAACCCCCCCCAAATGCCAGGACAGTACAAATCCCCCCAAATGTCAGGACAGTACAAAATTCCCCCCCCCAGGACAGTACCCCCACAAATGTCAGGACAGTACAAATCCCCCCAAATGTCAGGACAGTACAAATCTCCCCCCCAAATGTCAGGACAGTACAAATCCCCCCAAATGTCAGGACAGTACAAATCTCCCCCCCACAAATGTCAGGACAGTACAAATCCCCCCAAATGTCAGGACGGTACAAATCTCCCCCCCACAAATGTCAGGACAGTACAAATCCCCCCCCCCCCCCCACAAATGTCAGGACAGTACAAATCCCCCCAAATGTCAGGACGGTACAAATCCCCTCAAATGTCAGGACAGGACAAATCCCCCCCCAAATGTCACGACAGGACAAATCCCCCCAAATGTCAGGACGGTACAAATCTCCCCCCCCAAATGTCAGGACAGTACAAATCCCCCCCCCAAATGTCAGGACGGTACAAATCCCCCCCCCCAAATGTCAGGACAGGACAAATCCCCCCAAATGTCAGGACAGGACAAATCCCCCCAAATGTCAGGACAGTACAAATCCCCCCAAATGACCCTTTTTTAGAAACTACACAGTTTGAGGTATTTAGTAAGAGGCTTGGTGAGTTTTTTGAAGTTGTCATTTTTGTTACAATTTTTGGAAAATGAAGAAATGTAATAAAATGTCACCAGAGCAGCACATCGTTGTCATCATATGACTGATGTGGTGATCAGGGACACTGACTGATGACTGTTGAAATGTTAAAAAAAAAAAGTAAATAATTTTATTATTAAATGTTTTTTTTGCCTACTTTCATCAGCGCACTAGTGTAGTATCACCATAGTAACACTGTACTACTCTGGAGGGATGATCAGGTACCAGGGATTTTTTTACACTTTGATTGCTCATACAATGAAGATGCCAGCAATGCTTTGAATTGTTGTGAATGTGGGTAGTCCTCTCACTGATTCGTGTGAGATAAAGACCAGAAAAAGAACGGACATTACTGCTACTAGGGAGGCCACAATTGATGAAAACGTACAAAAATTAAAACCATGGAATAATAAATCTCAATGATCTGTGATTGGCTACAGCTAATCACATGGTACAGGGTTCTTTGATTGACACAGGTACCGTGTGATAGCTGTGGGCCAATCACAGTATAGGAAGAACAGCTATTAACCAATTCCCATCTGCCCTATAGCAGATATATTGCTACAAAGTGGCACTGATGCGCAAAATCACGTATATATACATCCACGGCCGCAGCTTTCAATCAGTGGGTGGTTACTAGCTGGCGCCCGGTGATTGACCTGGATGGGAAGGAGAACTGTTAGTAAACAAAACAGTTCTCCTCCCTGCCAGCTCATGCACACTGTTTTGTATGGCTCTGCATAGCACAGCCATCCAAAGCAGTGTGCTTACAGTGAAGTCCACAGACCCCGCCCCCTATGTAAAACACTCCCAACACACAGTTAACCCTTTGCTCTCCCCACATGTTAACCCCTTCCTGCCCAGTGTCATTACTACAATGTCAGTGCTTTTTATTAGCCCTGATCACTGTATTGGTGTCACTGGGGATGTCAGTGACACCAAGTCAGTTCCCCCCAGTGTCAGAATGCCCACCGCAGTCCCACAGTCCCGTTATAAGTCACTGATCGCCGCCATCACTAGTAAAAATGTAAAAGATTATTTAAAAATCTCAGTATCCATACCGCCATTTGTAGACGTTATAACTTTGACGTAAACCAATTAATTTACACGTATTGGGATTTTTTTTCAGCAAAGACACAGAGCAGAACGCATTTTGGCCGAAATTTATGATGAAATTAGATTTTTTTTTTTTTTTTACTGGATATGTTTAATACCAAAAAGTCAAAAATATAGTTTTTTTACTCAGAATTATCGGGCTTTTGGTTTGTTTTTTTATATCGCAAAAAAATTAAAAATGCAGAGGGGATCAAATACCGTCGAAAGAAAGCTCAATTCGTGAGAAAAAAAGAACGTAAATTTAATTTGGATGCAGCGTTGCATGACCGCGCAATTGTCAGTTAAAGTAACGCGGTGCCGTAAAGCAAAAAATGGCCCGGTCAGGAAGGGGGGGAATATCCTCCGGAGGGGGAGGGGTTAAGAACAAGATTCATTCATAAGAGCTTTGTTTACATTGTGATCATGTGATCACATAGCGGTACCGCGAGCCGCAATCCGCTGTGTCCAATGCACAGCACCCCCCTTAGCCCGAGCAGGCACAATGACATACGTGTACTGTGGCAGGTCAGCAAGTGGTTAAAGGTACACCTCATGCTGAATAACCGCGCAATCAAAAACTACAGGGAATAAATGGGACTTAAGAAGTAGAAGTAGTCGATGTCATTGAAAAAAAAATGTTAAAAAACACAATCCATTTTATTCCATATAAAAGGTGCTATATGTAAGCAGACAGCAGTCCAAAAACCCAACGCAGGGCTCATAATACACCATTTATAGAGGTTGTTGACAGGTATTAGACTTGACGCTTTTCACAGGTACAGTGTTGTGGTCAGATGAGACCAAAATCCAGCTCTTTGGCATCAACTCAACTCGCCGTGTTTGGAGGAGGAGGAATGCCGCCTATGACCCCAAGAACACCATCCCAACTGTGAAACATGGTGGTGGAAACATTCTGCTTTGGGGGTGTTTTTCTGCTAAGGGGACAGGACAACTGCACCGCATCAAAGGGACGATGGACGGGGCAATGTACCCTCAAATCTTGGGTGAGAACCTTCTTCCCTCAGCCAGGGCATTGAAAATGGGTCATGGATGGGTGTTCCAGCATGACAATGACCCAAAACACACGGCCAAGGCAACAAAGGAGCGGCTCAAGAAGAAGCACATTAAGGTCCTGGAGTGGCCTAGCCAGTCTCCACACCTTCATCCGATGGAAAATCTGTGGAGGGAGCTGAAAGTTCGAGTTACCAAACGTCAGCCACCGAAACTAAATGACTTGGAGAGGATCTGCCTAGAGGAGTGGGCCAAAATCCCTCCTGAGAGGTGTGCGAACCTGGGGGCCAACTCCAGGAAACGTCTGACCTCTGTGATGGCCAACAAGGGATTGGCCACCAAGTACTAAGTCATGTGTTGTGAAGGGGATCAAATCCTTCTTTCCCTCATGAACATGCAGATCCGTCATCATTTGTTAGACGCATTTCTGCTGAATTTGTTGTTGTATTCTGTCTCTCAGTGTTACATCGAACATTTCCATTGATAGACCGACCGATCGTTTCTGTGTGAGGGGCGAACATTCCATTGTTAGACCGATCGTTTCTGTGTGAGGGGCGAACATTCCATTGTTAGACCGATCGTTTCTGTGTGAGGGGCGAACATTCCATTGTTAGACCGATCATTTCTGTGTGAGGGGCGAACATTCCATTGTTAGACCGATCGTTTCTGTGTGAGGGGCGACATTCCATTGTTAGACCGATCGTTTCTGTGTGAGGGGCGAACATTCCATTGTTAGACCGATCGTTTCTGTGTGAGGGGCGAACATTCCATTGTTAGACCGATCGTTTCTGTGTGAGGGGCGAACATTCCATTGTTAGACCGATCGTTTCTGTGTGAGGGGCGAGGGGCGAACATTCCATTGTTAGACCGATCGTTTCTGTGTGAGGGGCGAACATTCCATTGTTAGACCGATCGTTTCTGTGTGAGGGGCGAACATTCCATTGTTAGACCGATCGTTTCTGTGTGAGGGGCGAACATTCCATTGTTAGACCGATCGTTTCTGTGTGAGGGGCGAACAGCATTCAGCATCAGCCGGGGAGCAAATACGCATTTCCTGCACTGTATATCTAATTGTATCATTTAAAACAGTCACCTACCCCCATAGAGGGTATGTGTACCCAGTGAGATCACACAAAAGCAATCAAACATTCAGAATCAGCAGGGATCAAATACTTATTTCCTTCACTGTAACTCCAATTTTTCAGGAGGAATTTCAAAGAAGATTTATTTCTACAATAAACAAAATATATTCACAATAATATCCATGAATGAAAAATAATATGATAAATAGCTACACATTATAGATCTCTCACGTCATGCCGTATGCTGGAGGTTTCAATTAGAAGCCGCAAGCCCTGCGCCGGCACTCCCAGCAGGTAAATAAAGTGTAAGATGGGGACCCCAGGAGCCACCAGGGTGGGTATCTAGAAACACCTACAGAGGTGGAAGAGATCGAAAATATCCAGGATGAACCACATGGGCAATCCGCATGCCTGGTCCAAAGACACATCCACCAATACAACACACCTAACCTCGCATACCTTTCCTGGAGGCCAATATAAAAGTTGATGCCGAAGATGTAACAACCATGCGTTCAAGTCAGAATCACGTAATATATATAAAAAATGGGGAACGCCAACAATGGCTACCAGACCGGTTAGTGCCACACTTTTAGTGACTAAGCTCCCCAAAAAAAGACATCTATAGAACAGAAGCGGGATAGTCAGTCCCCTTCCCAATGTAGTAGAAGACCACATGACCGACCAGTGAGGGATATCTATTCCTTACTGCACAGAAGCACCCTTGTGAACAGCGCGTATTCTTTCAATGCCATCAAATCTCCCATTTCTCTCATTAAAGACGTAATTGAGGCATGGGATGAGCAACACTCAGACAGGGGCCCTACAAAGGTACAGTGAAGTTCTTCAGTAGGGGAAGCTCCAACAGGGTAGTCAATGAAGTCCATGTAAATAGGGACTAGTACTTCTTACTACCCAGGCAGCTCAATCCTCCATTGACCTTCTCCCCGGTGCAAAGAGAGCACTTGGAATGGATGTACTCTTCGTAAAGCACTGGACATCACCTCATCATGGGGCCATGCCCCCGGGTCCAAGGGTCTTTTGTATTGAATACAATTGAATGTGTTTTTTTTACTTTTTTTTTACTGATGTAGATTACTTCTATACAGGGGCAGACTGACCATTTGGAAACTCGGGCGCTGCCCGAGGGCCCGGGGTCAGTAGGGGGCCCCATGAGATGCCCCTGGTACCTTTTTCATAGGCTTTTTTGAGTTTGCACCCGACACTGACCGGCTGCACAGGCTCTGCAACTTTTAAGGGTTGCCTGAGGATTGGTCAAGGTCCCTCAAATATGCAGATATCGGTCTCCTCCCCTCCTCCACCCCTCTTCCAGAAAGTTCTCTAAGTTTCTGGAAGGGTGGGAGGGCTGCAGGAACCCTGACCTGTTACAGCCTCCCAGCCTGTCCTGAGGTGAACTCGTGCCCAGCGGCGGACTAACCATTTGGAAACTCGGGCGCTGCCCGAGGGCCCGGGGTCAGTAGGGGGCCCCATGAGATGCCCCTGGTACCTTTTTCATAGGCTTTTTTGAGTTTGCACCCGACACTGACCGGCTGCACAGGCTCTGCAACTTTTAAGGGTTGCCTGAGGATTGGTCAAGGTCCCTCAAATATGCAGATATTGGTCTCCTCCCCTCCTCCACCCCTCTTCCAGAAAGTTCTCTAAGTTTCTGGAAGGGTGGGAGGGCTCCAGGAACCCTGACCTGTTACAGCCTCCCAGCCTGTCCTGAGGTGAACTCGTGCCCAGCGGCGGACTAACCATTTGGAAACTTGGGCGCTGCCCGAGGGCCCGGGGTCAGTAGGGGGCCCCATGAGATGCCCCTGGTACCTTTTTCATAGGCTTTTTTGAGTTTGCACCCGACACTGACCGGCTGCACAGGCTCTGCAACTTTTAAGGGTTGCCTGAGGATTGGTCAAGGTCCCTCAAATATGCAGATATCGGTCTCCTCCCCTCCTCCACCCCTCTTCCAGAAAGTTCTCTACGTTTCTGGAAGGGTGGGAGGGCTGCAGGAACCCTGACCTGTTACAGCCTCCCAGCCTGTCCTGAGGTGAACTCGTGCCCAGGGGCGGACTAACCATTTGGAAACTCGGGCGCTGCCCGAGGGCCCGGGGTCAGTAGGGGGCCCCATGAGATGCCCCTGGTACCTTTTTCATAGGCTTTTTTGAGTTTGCACCCGACACTGACCGGCTGCACAGGCTCTGCAACTTTTAAGGGTTGCCTGAGGATTGGTCAAGGTCCCTCAAATATGCAGATATCGGTCTCCTCCCCTCCTCCACCCCTCTTCCAGAAAGTTCTCTAAGTTTCTGGAAGGGTGGGAGGGCTGCAGGAACCCTGACCTGTTACAGCCTCCCAGCCTGTCCTGAGGTGAACTCGTGCCCAGCGGCGGACTAACCATTTGGAAACTCGGGCGCTGCCCGAGGGCCCGGGGTCAGTAGGGGGCCCCATGAGATGCCCCTGGTACCTTTTTCATAGGCTTTTTTGAGTTTGCACCCGACACTGACCGGCTGCACAGGCTCTGCAACTTTTAAGGGTTGCCTGAGGATTGGTCAAGGTCCCTCAAATATGCAGATATCGGTCTCCTCCCCTCCTCCACCCCTCTTCCAGAAAGTTCTCTAAGTTTCTGGAAGGGTGGGAGGGCTCCAGGAACCCTGACCTGTTACAGCCTCCCAGCCTGTCCTGAGGTGAACTCGTGCCCAGCGGCGGACTAACCATTTGGAAACTCGGGCGCTGCCCGAGGGCCCGGGGTCAGTAGGGGGCCCCATGAGATGCCCCTGGTACCTTTTTCATAGGTTTTTTTGAGTCTGGGCAAGAACACAGGGGCCCCATGATCCCCTCTTGCCCGGGGGCCCCATGAGTCGTCAGTCCGCCCATGCTTCTATACCTTAAAAAATCTCATTTATTCTCAATAGTTTTTGGTTTTATCTATTCCTTAGTATTTATCTAGCTTTAGTATCGTATATTTAGTGGATAGGAAGTCAATACTGGAAGATGAAATTGTTAGTTTTAAAGGGTTTGCATTCTTCAACCACCTTTAGTAGAAATATTTCAGTTAGCTACGCTTTGCGCACGATCTGGACCATATATAACTCTATCAGTAAAATGTGTGTAAATATACAATACAATGCGGCACCAACGTCCAGGACTCACCATAGACTCCACTGAGCAGGGCCAGGCAGGACAGGACCCTCAGGACTGCCATGCTGATATTCCTGCTTCTATGGACGATGGTGAGACCTGTTCAGCTTTTATACACCAAAGAGAAAGTTCTAGGCCAATGATACGTGTTATTTTAGTCCGCCTTATCAGGATACCTTGAGTAAGTCCAACTATTCCACCAACTTGGCCTGGAGGAAAGGTATAAGAAACAGGTGCTGCAGGAAAACAACACTTCCTCTTGTTGATTGTTGAAAGAATGAACAAAAAAAGAAGAAAAAGAACGGATGTTATTGCTACTGGGGAGGCCAGAACTGATAAAAAAAAAATAGATATAAACATAAAATCATAGAATAACACATCTCAGTGATATAGTCACATCTCTCATGACCATTTCCTCACAAGTTCACAATTCACATTACAGTTTTACATAACTCCTTAAATCGGAAAAAACCCAAGAGGCCAACGCGTTTCACATACAGTGCTTCTTCAGGACCTTTTGCTGGAATCAGGAGAGAGAAACTGAACTAAGAAAATAATATATTAGCCACATATATTCAACAAATACACTATATTGCCAGAAGAATTGGGCCAACCCTCCAAATCATGTGATTCAGGTGTTCCAATCCCCTCCAATCATGTGATTCAGGTGTTCCAATCCCCTCCATATCATGTGATTCAGGTGTTCCAATCCCCTCCCAATCATGTGATTCAGGTGTTCCAATCCCCTCCCAATCATGTGATTCAGGTGTTCCAATCCCCTCCAATCATGTGATTCAGGTGTTCCAATCCCCTCCAATCATGTGATTCAGGTGTTCCAATCCCCTCCATATCATGTGATTCAGGTGTTCCAATCCCCTCCCAATCATGTGATTCAGGTGTTCCCATCCCCTCCAATCATGTGATTCAGGTGTTCCAATCCCCTCCAATCATGTGATTCAGGTGTTCCAATCCCCTCCCAATCATGTGATTCAGGTGTTCCAATCCCCTCCAATCATGTGATTCAGGTGTTCCAATCCCATCCCAATCATGTGATTCAGGTGTTCCCATCCCAATCATGTGAAGGTGTTCCAATCCCCTCCATATCATGTGATTCAGGTGTTCCAATCCCCTCCGTATCATGTGATTCAGGTGTTCCAATCCCCTCCCAATCATGTGATTCAGGTGTTCCAATCCCCTCCATATCATGTGATTCAGGTGTTCCAATCCCCTCCCAATCATGTGATTCAGGTGTTCCAATCCCCTCCCAATCATGTGATTCAGGTGTTCCAATCCCCTCCCAATCATGTGATTCAGGTGTTCCAATCCCCTCCAATCATGTGATTCAGGTGTTCCAATCCCATCCCAATCATGTGATTCAGGTGTTCCAATCCCCTCCATATCATGTGATTCAGGTGTTTCAATCCCCTCCGTATCATGTGATTCAGGTGTTCCAATCCCCTCCATATCATGTGATTCAGGTGTTCCAATCCCCTCCATGGACACAGGTGTATACAATCAAGCCCCTAGGCATGCAGACTGCTTCTACAAACATTGGTGAAAGAATGGGTCGCTCTCAGGAGCTCAGGGACTCCAAGCGTGGTCCCGTGATAGGTGGCCACCTGGGCAATAAGTCCATCCGTGACATTTCCTGGCTACTAAATATTCCACGCTCAAGTGTTAGTGGGATTATAACAAAGTGGAAGTCACTGGGAACAACAGCCACTCAGCCACCAAGTGGTAGGCCACGTCACATGACAGGGCGGGGTCAGCGCATGCTGAAGCGCACAGTGCGCAGAAGTCACCAACTGTCTGCAGAGTCAATAGCTAAAGACCTCCAAACTTGGTGTGGCCTTCAGATGCTCCTTCAAAACAACCGCTCTGTCTTTTTCCAGAGCAGCCTGGATTTCATTTGAGGTTGCCTATGAGTTTCCCTTTGTATCCCGAACAATTCTTCTGGCAGTTGTGGCTGCAATCTTTCTTGGTCTACCTGACCTTAGCTTGGTATCAAGAGATCCTCGAACTTTCCACTTCTTAATAGGTGATTTAACAGGACTGATTGGCATATTCAAGGTTTTGGACATCTTTTTATGTCCTTTTCCATCTTTATTAAATTTCATTACCTTGTTACGCAGGTATTTGGACAGTTCTTTTCTGATCCCCTTGGCTCAGTATCTAGCCTAGTCAGTGCTTCCACGTGAGAGCTAACAAACTCATTGACTATTTATACACTGACACTAATTGAAATTTAAAAAGCCACAGATGTGGGACATTAACCTCTAATTGGCATTTTAACCCGTGTGTACCAAGGCCCAACATTCCAGGGGGCGGAGACTTCTGATCCGGGGGTGGATACTTCTGATCTGGGGGTGGAGACTTCTAATCCAGGGTGGAGACTTCTGATCCAGGGGCGGAGACTTCTGATCCGGGCCATTTGAGTGTTTTCTGTTATCATTATGATTTTAAAAGGAGCCAAACAACTATTTGATAATAAATGGCTTCATATGATCATCACCCTCCAATAAAAGAGCATTTTTTGGCAGATCAGTCATATTTTCAATATCAATGCCAAAATTTCACAATTTCTGCCGGGGGATGCAAACTTTTGAGCACAGCTGTATATCTGACAATCGATCAATCAATGTACTGATGGCCAATCTCATTTCTTGAGGCCCAAAAACGCCAGGATAATACAAATACCCCACAAATCACCCATTTTTGGAAAAATAGACAGACCAAGGTACTTAGTAAGAGGCATGGGGAGTTTTTTTGGAGGTTGTAATTTTTTGTTACAATTTTTTGGAAAATGTGAAAACAAAAAAAAATGTACACATTGTCACCAGTCCAGTACAGCGTGATTCTATAACTGGTGTGGCAGTGATCAGGGACACTGACTGGTGACAGTATGTAAAATAAAAAAAAAATAAAAATCCTTTTTTTTCAAATTTTTTTTATTATTTTTTTAATTTGTATTACATTATTGTTTCTTTTTTTTTACTATTTTTTTTTTCAACACACTGTGACCAAAGCAATACATTGTTACCATTGAACTACTCTTGGCGAGTGATCAGAATTTTTTTTTTTTTTCTTTATTTTTTTTTTTTACACATTATGATTGCTGATACCGATGTTTTTCATTGATATTTGTAATCATTGTTACTGAATGAAACAGATTCATTCAGTCTTTTGTTGTGATTAGCTGTGATTGGGCAAAGCTGATCACATGATACAGATGGGCTGTGATTGGCCCTGTCTGTACCATGTGACTGCTTTGATCAACCACAGCTAACAACATCATTGTATACAATGGATGGCATGACGGGAAGCTATCCACTGTACACAAGCGACATGTGATTGCTGTGATTGGTCACAGCGGTCACATGATACTGGCAATGGGTCGGTGAAGTGATATGTCATCGGCTGTGTCCCGTGCTGGTGACAGATCACGCCCCAGCGTCTGTCTTTTGATAGGACGTCATATGACGCCCAGTCGCAACGAGGAGTGTCCCACCCAGCCGTCAGTCTGCTATAGGCCAAGCAGGAAGGTGTTAAACAGGTGTCCAGCAGACAGTACATTATAAAAGGGCGTTACCTACCAAAGAAAGCCCTGCCCATTTCATGTTGTCAGCAATGGCACCACATGGAAGAGAAATGTCACAAGGCCTGAGAAAGAAAATCATTTCTTTACACAAGAAAGATGAAGGCTACAAGAAAATCAGCAAAGATTTACTTATCAGTCAGAATACTGGAGCAAAAGTGAAACAAACATGTAACAAAGATGGAACTGCAACCATCTCACAGAGACGTCCAGGCCGTATGTCACAAGTTAGCCTGCAGTTTCTTGTTTGTGTAATCTTACCTCCTTGCTGCAGTGCTGTTCCTGATCCCTTTCACATGTGTGTGATTTTTCTGTGCTCACCTATGGGCGTCGTCTGCTGTCCTCTGGGTTTTATTTCCTTCCCTTCCATCCTTCCCTTTCATAACTTCCTGGCCCGCCTCCTTGTTTTCCTGCCTATATAAGACATGCTCCGTCTAGGCCACTTTCCCTGAGCAACTTCTTAGTTGTTGGAGCTCCTGTATGTTGCTATTGCCTGTATCCTGCATTTGACTACTTGTGTACTGACCCCGGCTTCGTTCTCTGACTGTGCTTGTTTTCCGCCTGTCCTGACCTCGGCTAGTCTATTGGATTTCCATTTGTCTCCTCCCATTGTACGCTGCTCCTGTGAGCGGTCTCCTCATCCTCAGCTGGGTGTACCCGGGGGCCGTGACCTGGTCCCAGCTTGCTGGAAGTCCATCCCCAACATCAGAGGCTCTTGTGAAGAAGCAGGCTGGGGCTTAGACTCTGCACCCTGGGGAGCCCCAAGTTGACTATCTACAAGGGTTCACTACCACAGGTGCTGACACCATCCATGGAAGTAACACCTTGACTAGGAGCTTCTTCTGTTGAGAAGGGTTGAAGAAAATCGCCATGAAAGTTCACCGCAGTTAGCTAAAGCAGTAGAAAGCCAAACTGGGGTGATTGTTTCCCGTGACACCATACGGCATACACTGCAGAGGAATGGCATGCATGGGTGTCGTCCACGGAGGAAGCCTCTCCTAAAGCCCATGCACAAAAAAGCCTGCCTAGAATTTGCCAGGGCCCATGCTGAAGGAGAAGACTACTGGGACTCTGTACTCTGGAGTGAGGAGACCAAGATAAATGTTTTTGGAACTGTTGGCTTCACAACTGTATGGTGTCACAGAGGTGAGGAGTACAAAGAAAAATGCATGGTGCCTACTGTGAAACATGGTGGTGGCAATGTCCTTCTGTGGGCTGCATGAGTGCTGCTGTTGTCAGGGAGCTCCATTTCATTGATGGTGTCATGAATTCACAGATGTACTGCTCTATATTGAAAGAGAAGATGCTCCCATCGCTCCGTGTCCTCGGTCGTTGCGCACTTTTTCCAACATGACAACGATCCAAAACACACATCTAAAGCCACTGTTGTATTTCTGAAGAAGAACCGGGTGGAAGTGATTCAGTGGGCAAGTATGTCTCCTGATCTGAACCCGATCCAACACCTACGGGGGAGTTCTGAAGAAACAAGTTGAGCATCGCTCTCCATCCAGCATCCAGGCTCTAACAGAGGTTGTTCTTGAAGAATGGAAAAAAAGATCGATGTTGCGATTTGTCTCCAACTTGTCCATTCCATGCCTAGAAGACTCGGTGCTGTCCTTACAAATCATGGAGGTCATACAGAATACTAGAGGAAGGAGCTCTTGTTGTGGGGGGGGAATTCATTTTTGCATCGAATTTGAGTAAAACTGAAGATTTTGTGATTTAAGTTCTATTAAGAACCTTACTTTCATGTAATGAGCCGAACAAATGTTCTAGAAAACTCCAATCTGTCCCAGTGGGGGAGAATGTTCTTGTGTTCATTGAGATATTGATTCAAATCTTACTTTTAAAAGGGGTAGAGCAGGGGCGGACTGACAACTCATGGGGCCCCCGGGCAATAGGGGATCATGGGGCCCCTGTGTCCTTGCCCAAACTCAAAAAAGCCTATGAAAAAGGTACCAGGGGCATCTCATGGGGCCCCATACTGACCCCGGGCCCTCGGGCAGTGCCCAAGTTTCCAAATGGTCAGTCCGCCCCTGGGGTGGACTCATTCATGCTGAGCACTGTAACGTATTCTGTGCCGAGTTCCTGGGTCTGCACACCCGCTGTGCCCATTATGACTGTGCCGAGGTTCCCACTATCCCTGTGCCGAGTTCCCTAGTCTGTACACCCACTGTGCCCATTATGAGGGGTTCCCACCATCCATGTGCCGAGGGGTGTTCCCGGGTCTGTACACCCACTGTGCCCATTATGAGGGGTTCCCACTATCCCTGTGCTGAGTTCCCTTGGGTCTGTACACCCACTTTGCCCATTATGAGGGATTCCCGCCATCCCTGTGCCGAGTTCCCCAGTCTGTACACCCGCTGTGCCCATTATGAGGGGTTCCCACCATCCCTGTGCCCATTATGAGGGGTTCCCACCATCACAATTTAGGTCAGAGCTGCCATATGATGCTGTTTTTTTTTGTCTTACTTTTATCTCCAGTGTTTATTGTGATGTCCTGGAAATAGTATGACGCAGCAAGAGATGTGGATTGTTCTGATCGATCCTTGGCAGGATGGTGAGGAAGGCTTCTGCTTCTCCATTCCTCCTCCTCTCCTGGCGCCCTGGTAGCCATGGAGCAGCTGGGTGGGAGAATGAAGAGACTCTTTCTGCTTCTTCTGAGCGTATGTGGCGAGTATTGGCAGCCCATGCCCGGATGGCACATCCACCTATGGATGGCCCTGCATGTCACATCCAGCTCTTGTTCAGACATTGTGGCCTCTGGGGGGTGTCACCTGGGTGCGGTCTGCACCCTCCACATCCTCATAGCGATGTCACTGAAGAGTCACCACAGCTCACCAGAGTTTCAGTGTCCAAACAGTACCCAGCTCCTTTCAATATCATACCCTGCTCCACACCACAACCCACGGATGCCTTCTAAC